GTATACCGATCTCTGGATCGCGCGGGATCACTTGGGGTGGCGCACAACTGGCCAGCGAGTGCGTGCGTGCGTGCGTGCGCGCTATTACGGCTCCGCCAAGTGACAACAACACTCGACAACGACGACGACGACGACGACGACGACGACGACGACGACGACAACGGGGACGAAGACGAGAAAGACTACGGCCGCTATCAGTGAGAACGGAAACGTCGCGCGTTGTTCGCGCGTCTCTCGCGGCGTGGCGCGTGTTGTCCAGCTGTTCATTGTTTACGTCCGGTTGGATGCGTCGGAAGGAGGAAACGCGCGCCGGGGGCTCGTAACGCGACTCGAGGGTGAACTGTCGCAACTCGACCGTGTCAGGCGATGACTGTGCAGAAGGTCAAACCACGCGGCACCGTGGCGGAGGAGCAACAACCCTCGGCGTCCGATATCCTCTCCCCGACGAGCGAGCCCCAAGAGAATGACAAGGAGCAATCGGCGCGGACCTGCTACCGCGGCGCCGGTTCGCAGGACAGCGAGAATCTCCTGGGGCGCGTTTTGGCCGGTGAGTGAAAGATCCAACGAAAGAGAGAGTTCGATCCCTCGGCGCCGCCGCTGGCGGCGGCGCATCTCGCGAGACGCGTCACGCATACCGCTCGTAGGGCGGCCTAACAAACGCCTAATAACGTCTACTAGTAAACTCGTGCGCCTAACGGGACCGCGGAAACGCTCTTTGGCGTAACACACGGATCGCTATTCATATAGGAAGGAATAGAGAAAGAGAGGCGGTTTCACTTTCCAGCGGACAGGAATGTAGGTCGCGGGGCCCGGGACGAGGCTAGTTCGTTGCCCTCGGTCGGCGGCCTTCCACTCGGCGCTCCGGCAATTTTTCTCCGTCTCTTTCTCTCTCCCACCATCTCCTCCTCCTTCTCCTCCTCTTCCCCTGCACCCCGTCGTCCTCTCCCTACCTCTACTGACTATTCCCGCACCACGCACGCCTCTTGTTCACAGTGTCGGTCCTAGCCTAGATAGCACGAGAGTCTCTCTAGAGTCTCCCACCCTCTTTCGCGTACACACACGCGCGGGCGTTTCCTCCTCTCCCTATTCTCTCTGTCTCTCTCTGTCTCTCTCTCTCTCTCTCTCTCTCTCTCTCTCTCTCTCTCTCTCTCTCTCTCTCTCTCT